AAAAAGATAATCATTCCTTTCCCTGTGGATACGAACTCTACTTCACCTATACTACGTATAAGTGTTAGTATCGATTTATTTTGACGCACCGTGACAAAGTGCTCGTCAATAACCATGGTTTTGTGGTGGGATTACCCTTGACACCAAAAAGGAATGACTCAGTTTGGGTGATTGTGGACCGACTTACCAAATCCGCTCATTTCATACCCATTCGAATGGATTTCTCCTTAAACAAATTAGCAGAATTGTATCTCCAAGAGATAGTCTGATTACATGGTATACCGCTACCCATTATATCCGATAGAGATTCAAGATTCCCTTCTCAATTCTGGAGAAGCTTACAAGAGGCACTTGGTACGAAATTGAACTTTAGCATAACCTTTCATCCTCAGACAGATGGTCAATCTGAAAGAGTTATTCAAATTCTTTAGGATATGATGCGGGGATGTGCTATTGAGTTCAAGGGAAGTTGGGAGAAATACTTGCCTCTTATGGAGTTTGCATATAACAATAGCTATCAAGCTACCATCCAGATGGCACCATACGAGGCTTTGTATGGTCGAAAATGTAGAACTCCAGTATGTTGGACATAGCTAAGTGAAAGAAAGGCCATTGGGCTAGACTTGATTCAAGAAACAGAGGAGAAGGTTCAGTTGATTCAAGAACAACTCAAGGCAGCATCAGATAGACAAAAATCATATGTTGATCTGAAGCGTCGTGATATTAATTGAGTATGCTATAGGAAAAAAAGTTTTTTTGGAAGCGCTCCGAGGTTTATTGGAAAAAGTTTTCCTTGGAAAAAAGTACTCCGTTTCGGCAAAAAGGGTAAGCTGAGTCCAAGGTTTATTGGACCTTATGAAATCAGTGAACGTATTAGTCTTGTAGCCTACCGGCTAGCATTACCACAAGAGTTGAGCCAAATACATGATGTTTTTCATGTGTCAATGCTAAGAAGATATAGATCTGATCCATCACATGTACTAACACCCGGAATCGTGGAGCTTGATAAAGATTTAACCTATGAAGAAGAACCGGTACAAATACTTGCTCGAGATGTGAAGGTGTCTGAATGTCCTCAGCAGCAGAATAAGTTTGGGTCGCCAAATCTTCATCATCATCAGCTATGTCTTCCATTGCAGGTGTCTGAATGTTCACATCATACATCTCAACATTTTCCTCAGCAGCAGAATCATTTTGGGAAAGGTTTCTTCTTTGTACTTCACAGTTTTGAACCCCTCTTCCACTACATGATGTGGAGGGTTGCAGCAAATACAGTTCACACACTCCATCAGTAGCACACAGACTCACCAACTCCAATGTGGAAGCATCATCTACTAAGTCCCTTAAAGATTCCAAAGGTTCACGAGGCAATTTATACATCAACTTCCCAAAGCCCCTAAATGGTCCAGATTCTATGAACTTTTTTAGATGTGGATAACTTACTACATCAGGGTCACTCTTAATTATCTCTATGCGGCCATTACTATATTCCATAGGAGAGGAGGTTTTAAGGGTGCCACCATAGTCCAAAATTAAGTCTAATGTCTCCCACATTCTGAAACAAAAAAAACAATCAATGACTCAGCAAAACAGTACGAAAGATGAAGGAGATGAAATGTCTTAGCACATTATACACATAAACACACTTCGCTATGCTACGACATATAGTTCATAGTAGTAGTACACAAATTCATAGTCTCACTATTACACACTATTACAGACACAAAACTACAACATGAGTGAAAATCGAATAATCTGAGTCACTTCGTTGACCTTAACGGCTTAAAGGGCTATTTCGTTCTTCCTCTTGGCGCTCAAGACTTTGTTCTTCCTCTTCGCGCTCAAGACTTCGGTCACTTAGCCTTCTGCAATTTTACGTTTTCAAATTAGGGCTATCTCGTGTAGGATAATTGTTTTACATGTAAACAACTTGGGGTTGGGGTTATTAATGAGTCAGCATTAAATAGAAATAAAAACATGCTGACCGGGCATTTAAGGGGGCGAACAGGAAGGTAACCGGGTGGATGTGTGGATTGAAGCATTTAATTTGGTTGGTGGGTTGGATCGAAGCTTATTTGGGTTTGGGGTGCCAATTGAGCAATTTGTATACGTTCAGGGGCCTATTTGACCATTTTTAACTTGATTTCTAATAACAATAACAACTTTTGTGCTATATATATATATTACTAAAAGTAATACAGTATGAACCAAGTTACCAAAATGGCAAAAAGGAAGAGGTGTTTCATAAGTTAGACAAGAAAACTTTGGTGATAGGAGAGTTATTTTACACAAAGCCAAACTTACTATGGACCCTCTCACCAGCCACAAGATGGCATCAACTTGCCATCTTGCGCTCCTCATATTGGATAATGTTTGAGTTTGATTTGAGATCCAAACTGAAACTGTATAACCGAAAATTAATTAGAACCAATTATTTATTCTGCAGAATATATATCACGAAGACATGGAGTAAATAAAGATCAACTTACAAATATGATGTCTACACATCGATATCATCTTGCACAATTAAACCTACTATTTGTGAACAAACATGGATACACATTGAAGCAACAGTTTTTTTGATCTATTTTATAGTCTAGGTTTAACTATTTTTTTGATCTATTTTCTGGGCGGCACACATTTTTTAGCACTACCATCATGAACAATGAAAATAATGCATAGAGGTCTAATGAAAATGGCTTAAAATGACTAGAATCTATATATTAAAAAAACACTACATTTTCCTTGATAAGGAATTTATAAAATTGTCCATCACCATGAATCTGCAAAAATAGCAAAAGAATGAGGATCAAGATCATACAAACTCAACACTATCCAAAAAAAATTGTCGCTTGGCTAATATTTCATTTTTTAGAAATTGCTCTAAATAGGAGCCAAAACGTTTTGAAATTCCAAAATAGGAGTATCATGTTTTTCATTCCCTGAATAGGAGTAATCTGTCAAGTTTGGAAAAAAATGTCATGTTTTAAAGCCTAGTAATGTCAAACTTGGCAGAAATTTATTCTTATTCAAGGAATAAAAAACATGATAGTTCTATTTTGGAATTTCAAAACTTTTTTACTCCTATTTAGGGAATTCTCCCTTCATTTTTCCAAACAAATTTTTATAATAGTTGAATCTATAAAAAAAAGATCACTTGTTTCACGGTAGGCAAATAGATCAAAGAACTTTGGGTCAATCTACTTAATGTTGATAATAGTACAGTAATGTGTGGTTCCTCTTTTTAGAAAACTGGATGATGTATTGATGTGGGGCGGATATTAGTTAATATAGTGTTGTGTAGGTTCTCAAATGTTAGATACACATTTACCAAACCCGCTGGTGGATCGCTTATGTTCAAGAGTATTCATGGGAATGCACAAACTTTTGAAAATGAAATGCAAATATATATGTATATATGTATAGTATAGAATCCATGTAATAAATTATATATTGGGTTTTTTATATATATAATTCTTACTTTTAACCATATTTGCTAGTTTCTTGTAGTTAAAGGGTTATATTTATTCACTCGTTGGATAAAATAATATTACTTTGTAACAGTTTTTGGTAAAATAACTTTGAATACTCAACATTTAATGCCAACATCTACCACCAGACTGACCCATTTTAATCATATATTATGCTTTGTATTGTTCCAAAAGGTGGAATCTCCCACCCCAGGAGTCCCCCACCGTGACCCGACAGAACGGTGAGGAGGTTAGTCACGGTGACTCAGTCAGCAGAATGGCAGTAGACTCATACACTCGTGCGCACCAGAGGCTCAGACTTATTTCAGGTTCTGTGACCTCCACTCGGTCGTTGCGGGGATTCGAACCTTGGTCCATTGTTTCAAATCTCCCACCACTCGATCAACTGAGCTACCCGTGCGGGTATCTTATGCTTTGTAATTATCTTCAAGTGGCTTCAATGATCCATTCTGCAATATGAAACTAAGCGACATATGATTTTTTTAATCAATTCTGATATTTATAAAATAAACTTTTACTTTTCTCTATGCTACTCTATTCACAATGCGACGGTAACTTTGAATGACTAATGTCTGACACACTAATTAAGAATCAGAATGTCTAAAACACTTTGCTACAACTTTGTTGGTATAAGTAGTTTGTATATCTAAGTTAGTAAATGGATCCCTAAGATTTGTCGAAATTATATTTCATAAGCATGAGATGAAGAATGAGTAGAGAAGATGATATATATATATATATATATATATATATATATATATATATATATATATATATATATATATATATATATATATATATATATATATATATATATATATATATATATATATATATATATATATATATATATATATATATATATATATATATATATATATATATATATATATATATATATATATATATATATATATATATATATATATATATATATATAGGGGAAGGTTCAAATACAAAGAGGTCTTCCCATGCAAAGTGAGAATTAATCTTGTGCGTTCATTTTGAGATCTAATGGCTCAAAATGATCCAAAAGTGAACTAAACTTGATCAAAAACGCGGTGGCAATTTCGTAATTAAAACAAAGTTTTTTGCCATCGCGAAAAAGTGCAACAAAAACACGCAAAAGTGCAACGCGGCGAAGAAAAAGTGCAATTGTTCGCACTTTGCACGGGAGAACCTCTTTTTATTTTGATCTCTTCCCTATATATATATATATGAGCCATGATTTTGGCTTTTTTGGCTCCAAATTGGCATTTTAAGTATTTCAATTAATTAGCTACATAGGTGGTGAAAAGGTTTAGTGAAACTAATTAATCAAAGTTTACCATAATTAAACTAGAATAGTCAAAGATGACTAGCTAATTTAAGGGATGTGATAGACAAATATTAGATGAATATATATTTTTCTTAACTATACCAAAATTCTCTCTTTTAGCTACACTAGTGTCGGACATCAGCTAGTGTGTGGTCTTGTAACGAAGCATTAGTATGACTATAAAGTATTATTGATGAGATCAAATGACATTGAAAAATTAAACTCAACAAATTAAATGAACCTCGCCATTGTCATTATAGACTGAACTTTCGATTCATTTAATGGATAATCAACAATAATCACTTCAGTTTTGGGACATACGGTTTAGACGTTTCCAACTATCTACAAATTAAATGGTAAGTATAGGTCATGTGAAAATGTATGATCATCTAAGAGGACATCCATCAACAGAAATCCCTTTTGCCGTGGGGCAAGAAGCCAAAGGGCAACCATCAACATTGTTTCCCCACCAATTGATACTAACCCCTCTTGATTGTAAGGCAAAGAAGATCAAAATGGTCATGAAAGCCGTACCCGCATCCAATCCACCAGATAAAACATAATTGTAACGCTCCCACCACCTGGGCTTGTATCTGTAAATCACGTACCCGAACACAAACCCGACAATGATCCAACTGGTGTAATTCACGGCACTAGCGGGCGGCATCATTGCCGTCGATCCCAACAATACGGGAAAGTTGATGTAACGGATCCATTTTTGGTTCGGCCATGCTTTGATTGCCAACCAGACTAGTACGGGTGCGATTGCACCCCCGAGAAAGAACCAGTTGATATTCGGGTATACCCCGAGGTTCCCGAATATCCTTTGCGGGCCGACTAGTCCCCAAATCACCGAGGCATCATAGAAGACATGGTCCATGGGGCACTTCCATGGACTATTTGTGGGTAAAAGGTTTGTGTTACAAAGGTTAGGGATTGTATCCATGAGCCACCATGCCGTTAGTGTGTAGATCACAACTGAAATGAACGTCCCAACCATCTTCACAAAAAAATCAAATTATCAATCAACTTACAATAAAAAATAACACCACTTGAACAAAAAATATCATGAGTGCTTAAAATTAAAATATTAATTCTTTTCCTTTTCTGACAGACTCTTATATACTACGTAGTATATTCTTCTTAAGTCTTTTAAATTCCTAGATAATTTGCAACTTGGTGAAGTACCTATAAACTCCACCTACAAAAAATTTACTACACCATCTTTCTAAACACTAAGTTCATGATTTGATTATGACAGTCATCAATATGGGTATTTGGTCGTTAATATTTAAGATTACATACTTCTAATATACGGAGTATATGATAAATTAACATCTCAATAGTTAATAATATTCTAATATATACTAAAATAAAGTATTTAAAGTTATGTTGGTTTATAAAGAAGTGCGATATTGAAATAATTTAAAAAACTCTATGCATGCTTACGTTTTAATAAATTACCAGTCATCACTTCAGTACATTTATTCATTCAACTATCCATTTACACATTATACTTATGAATGAATGAACTAACAAACCTGGATACTAAACATTATCCTCGGAGGAATTTTCATGTAATGTCCGAGCTTGAAATCCGCCACAAAGGTAAGAGCTTGACTCATGCTAATGTATCCGTACACCTTGAAGCACATGTTGGCCACGGGTCGACCTGGGTAAGCATACCCGATGATGTATTCCGTGATCACATTCAATCCCGGTGCCTATAATTATAATAATGTAACAATAATAAAAACGTGACAGTCTTAGTTTGAGAATTTCCCAATAGTTATAATAATTGAGCTAGCATTTCACATACCTGGTTAGTTGTGGCACAAATAATACCAATAGGAAGGGTGAAAATGAGAGCAATGGCACAAGCCAAGAGGACACCCCACCAAGGCAACTGAAGCGTTTCTTCATAATGCATGCAAGCATAGAGGATAACGGCAATGTTGACCACAAGAATGACAATAAACCACCACACCGGCACCTCCTTGTAAGCTTTCATTAGCCTTGAGTGTATATCTGGTTTCCCATCTCCTCCAAATGCTTTTTTGCTTTGATTCCATATGTCCCTACACGTAGTATGTATAAGAAAAGGAGATTTTCATGGTATCTCTTCAAATTTGGAATGTACCATACATTTGCCTTTCTCACCCAATAGCATTCCAAGTCAATTCATGAATGGTACTATTTCATGTGGCACTATTTCCATGTGTCACTATTTCATTTGCCCACACAATGAAATGCACCATACCTTCCAAATTTTCAAAGGCACCATAGCATGACCCATAAGAAAATATATATGGAGTGCGTGGAACATGGGCCCACAACTTGGTTATGGATCCGCTTACCAAACTTGATATATATGAGGAGTAGTCTATCATTACTATATTCCATAGGAGAGGAGGTTTTAAGGGTGCCACCATAGTCCAAAATTAAGTCTAATGTCTCCCACATTCTGAAACAAAAAAAACAATCAATGACTCAGCAAAACAGTACGAAAGATGAAGGAGATGAAATGTCTTAGCACATTATACACATAAACACACTTCGCTATGCTACGACATATAGTTCATAGTAGTAGTACACAAATTCATAGTCTCACTATTACACACTATTACAGACACAAAACTACAACATGAGTGAAAATCGAATAATCTGAGTCACTTCGTTGACCTTAACGGCTTAAAGGGCTATTTCGTTCTTCCTCTTGGCGCTCAAGACTTTGTTCTTCCTCTTCGCGCTCAAGACTTCGGTCACTTAGCCTTCTGCAATTTTACGTTTTCAAATTAGGGCTATCTCGTGTAGGATAATTGTTTTACATGTAAACAACTTGGGGTTGGGGTTATTAATGAGTCAGCATTAAATAGAAATAAAAACATGCTGACCGGGCATTTAAGGGGGCGAACAGGAAGGTAACCGGGTGGATGTGTGGATTGAAGCATTTAATTTGGTTGGTGGGTTGGATCGAAGCTTATTTGGGTTTGGGGTGCCAATTGAGCAATTTGTATACGTTCAGGGGCCTATTTGACCATTTTTAACTTGATTTCTAATAACAATAACAACTTTTGTGCTATATATATATATTACTAAAAGTAATACAGTATGAACCAAGTTACCAAAATGGCAAAAAGGAAGAGGTGTTTCATAAGTTAGACAAGAAAACTTTGGTGATAGGAGAGTTATTTTACACAAAGCCAAACTTACTATGGACCCTCTCACCAGCCACAAGATGGCATCAACTTGCCATCTTGCGCTCCTCATATTGGATAATGTTTGAGTTTGATTTGAGATCCAAACTGAAACTGTATAACCGAAAATTAATTAGAACCAATTATTTATTCTGCAGAATATATATCACGAAGACATGGAGTAAATAAAGATCAACTTACAAATATGATGTCTACACATCGATATCATCTTGCACAATTAAACCTACTATTTGTGAACAAACATGGATACACATTGAAGCAACAGTTTTTTTGATCTATTTTATAGTCTAGGTTTAACTATTTTTTTGATCTATTTTCTGGGCGGCACACATTTTTTAGCACTACCATCATGAACAATGAAAATAATGCATAGAGGTCTAATGAAAATGGCTTAAAATGACTAGAATCTATATATTAAAAAAACACTACATTTTCCTTGATAAGGAATTTATAAAATTGTCCATCACCATGAATCTGCAAAAATAGCAAAAGAATGAGGATCAAGATCATACAAACTCAACACTATCCAAAAAAAATTGTCGCTTGGCTAATATTTCATTTTTTAGAAATTGCTCTAAATAGGAGCCAAAACGTTTTGAAATTCCAAAATAGGAGTATCATGTTTTTCATTCCCTGAATAGGAGTAATCTGTCAAGTTTGGAAAAAAATGTCATGTTTTAAAGCCTAGTAATGTCAAACTTGGCAGAAATTTATTCTTATTCAAGGAATAAAAAACATGATAGTTCTATTTTGGAATTTCAAAACTTTTTTACTCCTATTTAGGGAATTCTCCCTTCATTTTTCCAAACAAATTTTTATAATAGTTGAATCTATAAAAAAAAGATCACTTGTTTCACGGTAGGCAAATAGATCAAAGAACTTTGGGTCAATCTACTTAATGTTGATAATAGTACAGTAATGTGTGGTTCCTCTTTTTAGAAAACTGGATGATGTATTGATGTGGGGCGGATATTAGTTAATATAGTGTTGTGTAGGTTCTCAAATGTTAGATACACATTTACCAAACCCGCTGGTGGATCGCTTATGTTCAAGAGTATTCATGGGAATGCACAAACTTTTGAAAATGAAATGCAAATATATATGTATATATGTATAGTATAGAATCCATGTAATAAATTATATATTGGGTTTTTTATATATATAATTCTTACTTTTAACCATATTTGCTAGTTTCTTGTAGTTAAAGGGTTATATTTATTCACTCGTTGGATAAAATAATATTACTTTGTAACAGTTTTTGGTAAAATAACTTTGAATACTCAACATTTAATGCCAACATCTACCACCAGACTGACCCATTTTAATCATATATTATGCTTTGTATTGTTCCAAAAGGTGGAATCTCCCACCCCAGGAGCCCCCCACCGTGACCCGACAGAACGGTGAGGAGGTTAGTCACGGTGACTCAGTCAGCAGAATGGCAGTAGACTCATACACTCGTGCGCACCAGAGGCTCAGACTTATTTCAGGTTCTGTGACCTCCACTCGGTCGTTGCGGGGATTCGAACCTTGGTCCATTGTTTCAAATCTCCCACCACTCGATCAACTGAGCTACCCGTGCGGGTATCTTATGCTTTGTAATTATCTTCAAGTGGCTTCAATGATCCATTCTGCAATATGAAACTAAGCGACATATGATTTTTTTAATCAATTCTGATATTTATAAAATAAACTTTTACTTTTCTCTATGCTACTCTATTCACAATGCGACGGTAACTTTGAATGACTAATGTCTGACACACTAATTAAGAATCAGAATGTCTAAAACACTTTGCTACAACTTTGTTGGTATAAGTAGTTTGTATATCTAAGTTAGTAAATGGATCCCTAAGATTTGTCGAAATTATATTTCATAAGCATGAGATGAAGAATGAGTAGAGAAGATGATATATATATATATATATATATATATATATATATATATATATATATATATATATATATATATATATATATATATATATATATATAGGGGAAGGTTCAAATACAAAGAGGTCTTCCCATGCAAAGTGAGAATTAATCTTGTGCGTTCATTTTGAGATCTAATGGCTCAAAATGATCCAAAAGTGAACTAAACTTGATCAAAAACGCGGTGGCAATTTCGTAATTAAAACAAAGTTTTTTGCCATCGCGAAAAAGTGCAACAAAAACACGCAAAAGTGCAACGCGGCGAAGAAAAAGTGCAATTGTTCGCACTTTGCACGGGAGAACCTCTTTTTATTTTGATCTCTTCCCTATATATATATATATGAGCCATGATTTTGGCTTTTTTGGCTCCAAATTGGCATTTTAAGTATTTCAATTAATTAGCTACATAGGTGGTGAAAAGGTTTAGTGAAACTAATTAATCAAAGTTTACCATAATTAAACTAGAATAGTCAAAGATGACTAGCTAATTTAAGGGATGTGATAGACAAATATTAGATGAATATATATTTTTCTTAACTATACCAAAATTCTCTCTTTTAGCTACACTAGTGTCGGACATCAGCTAGTGTGTGGTCTTGTAACGAAGCATTAGTATGACTATAAAGTATTATTGATGAGATCAAATGACATTGAAAAATTAAACTCAACAAATTAAATGAACCTCGCCATTGTCATTATAGACTGAACTTTCGATTCATTTAATGGATAATCAACAATAATCACTTCAGTTTTGGGACATACGGTTTAGACGTTTCCAACTATCTACAAATTAAATGGTAAGTATAGGTCATGTGAAAATGTATGATCATCTAAGAGGACATCCATCAACAGAAATCCCTTTTGCCGTGGGGCAAGAAGCCAAAGGGCAACCATCAACATTGTTTCCCCACCAATTGATACTAACCCCTCTTGATTGTAAGGCAAAGAAGATCAAAATGGTCATGAAAGCCGTACCCGCATCCAATCCACCAGATAAAACATAATTGTAACGCTCCCACCACCTGGGCTTGTATCTGTAAATCACGTACCCGAACACAAACCCGACAATGATCCAACTGGTGTAATTCACGGCACTAGCGGGCGGCATCATTGCCGTCGATCCCAACAATACGGGAAAGTTGATGTAACGGATCCATTTTTGGTTCGGCCATGCTTTGATTGCCAACCAGACTAGTACGGGTGCGATTGCACCCCCGAGAAAGAACCAGTTGATATTCGGGTATACCCCGAGGTTCCCGAATATCCTTTGCGGGCCGACTAGTCCCCAAATCACCGAGGCATCATAGAAGACATGGTCCATGGGGCACTTCCATGGACTATTTGTGGGTAAAAGGTTTGTGTTACAAAGGTTAGGGATTGTATCCATGAGCCACCATGCCGTTAGTGTGTAGATCACAACTGAAATGAACGTCCCAACCATCTTCACAAAAAAATCAAATTATCAATCAACTTACAATAAAAAATAACACCACTTGAACAAAAAATATCATGAGTGCTTAAAATTAAAATATTAATTCTTTTCCTTTTCTGACAGACTCTTATATACTACGTAGTATATTCTTCTTAAGTCTTTTAAATTCCTAGATAATTTGCAACTTGGTGAAGTACCTATAAACTCCACCTACAAAAAATTTACTACACCATCTTTCTAAACACTAAGTTCATGATTTGATTATGACAGTCATCAATATGGGTATTTGGTCGTTAATATTTAAGATTACATACTTCTAATATACGGAGTATATGATAAATTAACATCTCAATAGTTAATAATATTCTAATATATACTAAAATAAAGTATTTAAAGTTATGTTGGTTTATAAAGAAGTGCGATATTGAAATAATTTAAAAAACTCTATGCATGCTTACGTTTTAATAAATTACCAGTCATCACTTCAGTACATTTATTCATTCAACTATCCATTTACACATTATACTTATGAATGAATGAACTAACAAACCTGGATACTAAACATTATCCTCGGAGGAATTTTCATGTAATGTCCGAGCTTGAAATCCGCCACAAAGGTAAGAGCTTGACTCATGCTAATGTATCCGTACACCTTGAAGCACATGTTGGCCACGGGTCGACCTGGGTAAGCATACCCGATGATGTATTCCGTGATCACATTCAATCCCGGTGCCTATAATTATAATAATGTAACAATAATAAAAACGTGACAGTCTTAGTTTGAGAATTTCCCAATAGTTATAATAATTGAGCTAGCATTTCACATACCTGGTTAGTTGTGGCACAAATAATACCAATAGGAAGGGTGAAAATGAGAGCAATGGCACAAGCCAAGAGGACACCCCACCAAGGCAACTGAAGCGTTTCTTCATAATGCATGCAAGCATAGAGGATAACGGCAATGTTGACCACAAGAATGACAATAAACCACCACACCGGCACCTCCTTGTAAGCTTTCATTAGCCTTGAGTGTATATCTGGTTTCCCATCTCCTCCAAATGCTTTTTTGCTTTGATTCCATATGTCCCTACACGTAGTATGTATAAGAAAAGGAGATTTTCATGGTATCTCTTCAAATTTGGAATGTACCATACATTTGCCTTTCTCACCCAATAGCATTCCAAGTCAATTCATGAATGGTACTATTTCATGTGGCACTATTTCCATGTGTCACTATTTCATTTGCCCACACAATGAAATGCACCATACCTTCCAAATTTTCAAAGGCACCATAGCATGACCCATAAGAAAATATATATGGAGTGCGTGGAACATGGGCCCACAACTTGGTTATGGATCCGCTTACCAAACTTGATATATATGAGGAGTAGTCTATCATCTTATGTAGTAATTTAGGGAGGTTTATTGAAATTTTAATCCTGTAACTTTTGAGTGTACCCATTATTACTTCGGTAACTAACTTTAATTACTTGAAGATTTGATTTTGTAACTAATTAACTTATCCATTTTAAAAACTTTTACACCTGAAAGGCTGATAGGCACACTTTCCAGTAAAAAGGTTATCAGAAAACCAGTCGACGGCGTCAAAATTTCCACCAGAAAGTATACATACATTTTGATGTGATTGAAAGTCTATAATGTGGATAGAAAATTTATTATTTACGGAACTAAATCTGCAAGCGGCTAAAGTTTTAGACACACCGAAAAGTTTGTGTTTTAGGGGTGTGGGAGATACTTTAAGAACAATATAAAATATTTCAGTATACCTGCCATTGAACACCAAAACATGCACCAAGGTTGCAGAAAGGGTTGCAAATCCAAGTCCATAACTCATTGCAAAGAAGGTGCTAAGAAACAGGGGACCGACTTTATTGTACGCTTGGGCATCGAGGCTAAAATGGGAATTTATGATGCTTGAAGTGTTATATTGTGACCCGTCCAGCTGGAAGAGGTCATTAGAGTAGAGCGGGAAATTCTTGGCATGATACACGTTGGACCAATAAGTGAGGGGAGTCATCACATACATGACGAGGAAGAATCCGACTGCCACGTTTGCAGTGGCAAACCATGGGCTCGCGAGTGGGCTTCCCAGGTAGGATGAGATTGTGAGCCAGTCCAGCCCGACTGCCCCAAGCCCAAGGCCTTGCATGCCCGATCCCAACTGATTGAAGATCACCGACTTCGGCGCCAGCCAGCAAATCCATGATAAGGATGTTAACATCTGGAAAAGGAACCCGGGAAAGATATAGTACAGGAAGCTGCATGCTAATGCTATGAGGAAGAACTTGGTTCGTGTTGTGCTCCCTTTGGGCTTCTCCTCTTTCTCATGAAGAGCTCTGGATTAAATCAAATTTGTAAAAATTAATAATTCAATAAAATATATTTCATCTTTTTTTAAATAAGTGCAACAATCAATTTTTCACATTCGTTGAGGCACAACTTTGACCATTAAAATAAATAATTCTCTATTAGTAAAAAAATCAGATTTTGAAAATTTTAAATAATATTTTTTCAAAATATATATATTAATACATTAATAAATAAAGTATCATCAAAGTAGAACATGTGAATACGGTAAAATTCAATATGTTGCACTTACTTAAGAAGAGATGTGTGTTAAAAAATTAGTTAAAAGTATTATGATATTGGATGACCCTCAAAAATAAATTTGGGACGTTCAATGTGGGATAAATTAAATTAAATTGATTAATACGTGACATGCAACTAGTTTTTAACCTAACTTATTTTATTGTGGTTGTGTTCCATCATGGCATCATTTGTCGCGTACATTATTTGTCAACGATTTTATACACATAAAACTATAAAAGCTCCTATCCTTATCATGTTTGAAATTTTGAAAGTCAAAGACATTTAGACATTGTCTTTCGCTTTTATTATGTATGCAGTTATAATGGTAAACACTGAACAGTTAAAAGAAATTGCAAATGGACATATTTACGATTTCTTTATGTTTAATTTTTTTATTATTTTCAATACTATTTTAATACTAAAAACTAATAAAAGTTCTACGTAATATTTATTCATGGATAACTAATGATAAAATGGCATATCTTATTCAGAAAAAATAAAGTATGAAGATTAAAGAGCTAGTACATGACACACGCTTAATAAGACTACAAAATTGGAGTAGGATTTAAACATATTGGAATAATGATTTAAGAGATTGTGTTTAAATACTTACCTAAATAAAGAGACCTGAACAAGGTTACTAGGCCACCACATTTCCCCAGGCTCTACAAGGTGCCTCCGAAAAAGTCCAGCCCAACCGTAACCAAGCATCTGTACGTAAAATGCGAAGAGTGAGTATAATTTTGAACTCCACGATTTTTTATTATCCTATCTTCTAATCCTATTTCCTGAATAGATTACAGATAAGGAAAAAATTACAAAATATATTAAAAAATAATTAAAATAATTATCTACAACAACATCAATCAATTTTATCAATAAAATAATTTCAATTTTAAATATTTTGATTATTAGACAATTCAAAACGAAAAAGTTGGTCAAATGCATACACAACTAGCTTAGCCAGTGGCCACTGATCCGTATGGCGTGTGGCCATACGTCCATGTGATTCTTTTGACTTTTGAGAAATATTGGTGACAGATTCATAAAGCAGATTTAATCCATTGGCGCATGCGCGTTCCGTCTTCAATCATCATTGAGCGACTCGGCTCTTTCAAAGTAGGGTAGACAAATCGATTTGATTTGATCAAATTAAATTTGTGAATGTATGATCAAATTTATATGGATCAAGTTGAATTTATAAGCAAAACTCTTTTTTTTCAATGAGAGAATTTATATGTGAGAAGAAGTTACATTATTCATGGTGGCATATACAATTTAGAAATTACTAAATATAACACCAAAACATACACAAAATGCAAATATATGTACTATAATTCGTACCAATACACTAGGTTTCACATAAATCAAGTCTAAATGATATACTCCGTAATACTATCGTATGTAGTTTAACTAAAGAAGTGGGTATTAGTGTTTTACCGAGTTTTTCATACTAGAATAAGACTCATATACTCCCTCCGTTCCTATTATAACTTCCAACTTTCCTTTTTTGTCTGTTCCAATTAAAACTTCCATTTTCCTTTTTTGGTAAAGAATTTGTGGTTCACAACATTTCTTACACATTTCTCTCTCATCTACATAACTCTCCACCACACAATACTCACTATCTTAAATTGTGTGTCAAACCTATTTGAAAGTTATAATAGGAACGGATGTAGTAGAATAAAGAAAAGACTTCACGCCGTTAACGAGTAACTAGATAAGAAATATATGTGAATGTAAAAAATCAATGACTCTCATATCACTACAAAAAAATTACGAGATTGGAACGAATTTGGCATGGATTTGATATAGGTTTACCGATGATTTCGTGTTAAATCGTTCGTGCAATCTGTTTTTGACACGGATTTGACATATCTCGGTCAAAAAGTCATGTCAATCCCGTAATTTTTTGTAGTGTATATACAAATAATATCTATATATATCAAAGAATTTCCCAAAAATGAGAGTAACCCATGATTATAAATATTATTTTCTTTCAATTTTATATCAAAATTGAGCTATCATTGTTATCAATTGAAGATAATCAAGTGTAATAAAGCAGAGCAGGTTTCACATGCATACCTGAGTTGTCAGCATAACAAGAAGGGCAGGGAGGAAGCCTAACGGCCTCTTGTAATAAAGCTTAACGGCGCTCAAGATATGGGTCGCATACACTGTTCCGGCGCCGGCGTTGGCGAAAATCGTGATCATCACGTGCTCCTTCATATTAAACGGCCCCGGGTTCAGGCTGAATTCCATCCTCGTCCCTTTCAAGAACACCCTTTTCGTCAACACCCTCGCCATGAGGTGCCCCAACGGAACCACCGCGATCTGGGCGGAGATAGCCGACACCGTCAGCGGCTCCGTCCGGTACCAGAAGAATTGGTTGATGAACGACAAAAGCACGCACGAGCTCAGTCCAAGCACCCACATTCTGAACGTCAGCACCGGCATTGTGGGGTCATCGGTCTTCGACACCGTGAGATCCACCTGCCTAACGGCGCACACGTCCTCATCCTCCACCGCCGTCGGCGTTGTCTCAACGTCCGTCACTTTACACATTTTCCGTCCGCCGCGATTCCGGATTCGTACGGAGATTCACTTCGGCACAAGGATGTGCGGGATAGGGTTTCTGTAGATGCAAGCGTATCGAATCGGAATCGGAATTTATATACATATGTAAGACAAATATGCGGTGAATGATGCCAAAATGGTGGAAATGTACAGAATCGTAAGGATGCTAGGAATGTGTGGTAATTAGGAGGTGATACAGCTAATACAAATTATTTGTAACGAAATTTGATGTTATTATTGAGGAATCTTTGATCCGTTACCGGAAAAAGAGGAAAGACCGATTCCTATATCCTATATTACCTATATCCCACTCTATAGTCTATGAGGTGTTTGGAACTGATTCTGATTCTTCTTCTTTTTTAAAGCAGAAGCGGAATAGAATCAGTTTTCAGAAACTGGTCACCTTTCAACTTCTAAAAAAACTGATTCTATGAGTAAATTAGAGCACCAGAATCACTTCTGTACTTTTATCCAAACACTCCAACTTCTACTTCTGCTCCCTGAAGGAGCAGAAGCAGTTTATATAGAAATTACTCTAAATAGGAGCAAAAACGTTTTGAAATTCCAAAATAGGAGTATCATGTTTTTTATTCCCAGAATATGAGTAATCTGCCAAGTTTGGAAAAAAATGTCATGTTTTAAAGCCTAGTAATGCCAAACTTGGCAGAAATTTACTCTTATTCAAGGAATAAAAAACATGATACTCTTGTTTTGGAATTTTAAATTTTTTTTACTCCTTTTTAGGGAATTCTCTCTAGTCTATAACCATTCATTAATAATTAATACATAAATATTCATAGCAATATGGGATTTACCCATTGAGGAGATGGCAAAAAAATGAAAAAAAGTTGAGCTCTTCTTGTACCCATTTGTGTACACACATTTGTACTCACCCCTGATTTTATCTGTGTGCACAGACAAACATAGACAAAATGTTGCTTTTTTCTTAATGAATTGTCTGTGTGCATAAGCAAAATAGAGGGGTGAGTACAAAAGTGGCTACAAACATATTTTTGGAAAAAAGTTACCAAATTTATGGTAAAAAGTTGATATACACATCAGTACACTTCCGTGTCTTGTTAGAAGAATTTCTTTTATACACGTTCTTATACATATCAGTACACCTCCGTGTCTGTGGGAGTTTTTTTATGTGAATCCCAATCGACAGACAAAAACTAACTTATTTTGTCTGTAGAATTTTCCACAGACAAAACAAGCCGGTTTTGTCTGGGAATTGGGATTCAAAGACAAAAAAACTCTCACAGACACGAAGGTGTACTGGTGTGTATAAGAACATGTACACCAAGACCTTTTTAGACTTTTGAAAGTTCATATTGAATACACCTAGACTTTTAAAATCTTGATTGATTACACATTTACACCTAAAGTTTTACAATTCACGTCTTTTAATTTTTTTCCACTAATTCCATATAAAACACATACCCCTATATATACCCTATATATATATATATATATATACCAGATAATGTGTGTGTGTCCAGCCGCCCACATATATTCATTTATTTTTCAAACTTTCTTCGTTTTTTAATTCTTACAACATTGTCATTTTTACACTATTCACGAACCTTATTTTGACCATGATTTTCTACTAATATACATAATCAAATTATTAGGTATAAAATGTTATTGAGTTCCTATCAATGTGAATTTCCAAAATATCAACCTTTTATAATGTTTACTAATATATAATTATATATAATTACAGTCAAAGTTGTGTGTTAGCAAACGTGAAAGTTAAACCATTGCAAGAATTAAAGAACGGAGAATAGTATTAATATTTTGCTACTATAAATAGCACCTCATTTCCCCATTTGTAACCAAGACACAAGAAGCAAATACGCTGAATACATTTTCTAATATACTCTCTCTATATATATACTTACTTGCTCTAACTTCTCTCTAGTTATTCCCCGTGATAACCCCTCGGATAACTTACCCCCCGGGTACACTATCCATCATTTGGTGCTCTCGTTGAGAGGTCGAACAATCAAGTAAGAAACCCTCCCCCTCGACCAAACACAAAACACCCAGCTAAAATGGTGAGAACTACTCGTGCCAACTCCAAGAATGTAGAGGACAGGAACCTGGCCCTCGGCGAGGTCGACGTCCCTGAAGCCTCTAACAGGGCTCCCGGGGGCGGCGTCATCGCCGGGTTGGACCAGACGGCTGTCGACCTACGCCAGCAGATTCAACAAAATGCCCCTGATGCCCGCCTCGGCATCGAGGCCAAGAAAAAGGACCGGAGCAAGAATCAAATTAGCCCTCCGGTCATCACAATCGACGTGCAATCGGCGCTCTCCGCCTTCATCCAGACGCTCACCCAGAACCCGGGAGCCTTCGGCGCTTTGGTTCCCCGCCAACCTCAGGTCGGGGAGAATATTATGCCTCCCCCTCATCCTCGACCTCTCGGTAACCCGGTCCTCCGGATGGGGAACTCCGAGGGGGTCGTGGCCCAAGATACGGCCTCCCAGGAAGTCGAGTCCAGAGACCGCCACAGCGTGAACAAGGAACAACTCCGGACTTCCGCCCTCGAGAGACTCGGAGGGGCGCAAGACCGCTGAGGGGTCCAAGACCGCCTCGGGGGGAAGGCGTTCCAGAGGCCTCAGGAAAGTGGCGGGTCCGTCTCCAGGGCCAATGAAAGGCGTCCCCCTCAGGACAAAGGCAAGGCACCTCTCCATGCCGACGACGCACGCCACCAAATCAACCAGGCCCATTCAGCCCGGGTCCATTCGCAGGGGGCGGAGGCACTCCCGAAGGACCCCCGGGGTGAAATCATTGCGGCCCTCCAGCGCCGGCTTGACGAGATGGAGGCCACCAAAGCCCACGCCACCACTTCTGCCCCTCATACAGACCTCAAGTATGAGGCGATGTTGGCCAAAATGGAAGAAATGCAGAGGAAGATAGCTGAGGGCTCCGGGGAACCCACCATACAGCTCCGGACCCGGACGCCATTTACCCCAAGGGTATTGGCGGCCCGGATCCCGGAAAAATACCGAGGGCAGCTCATCAAGCCCTACGACGAGAAGACTGACCCCCAAGAGCACTACAGCAGGTATCAAAACAGCATGATGATGGTGGGGGCATCGGATGAATATTTGTGTCGATGGTTCCTCTCCACCTTAGAGGGGCCGGCTTACGAATGGTTCAATCGATTGCCCGAGGGCTGCATTGACTCATGGCAAGAACTCGCCCAGCGGTTCTTGACGCAATTTGCGGGAAGGCGTCGCACAAGAAAACACTTCTCCCACTTGCTAACAGTGAGGCAGAGGAAGGAAAAGACCCTTCGGGACTTCCTGGAGCGCTGGAGAACAGAGACTGATAAAGTGGATGGCGCTGACGATGGGACCCTCCTGGCCCTCCTACAAACAGTACTCCGCCCTGGGAACTTCTCAAGGAGCCTCATCATCGAGCCTCCCCGCGATTACATAAGGGCCCTACAGCGGGGGGACCGGTACGCTGAAGCCGAGGAGGTGGAGAAATGCCATCACGTCCCGGATCAGCAGCGCCCTCGGCCAGACGACAGAGATAACCGGGGGCCGGGGGCTCCCCGCAATCACCCTAAGGATTCTACCCCCTCCGGTGATCGCCCCCGGCATGGCCAAACCAAGCCCGGGGGAGGCTACAAGGGGAACCCGAGGGCTTGGGCACAGTCTGTCCTCCTGGAACACCCTCGGACACCTTTGACGCACCCCGTCAGCGTTATTCTTGATTTTGCTGAGGAAAGGGGCCTAGTGGAGCGAGATTCACGCGCGCCCTCCGAAGTATTTGCCATCAATCCAAACTACCCCTACTGTCGTTTCCACCGACACCAGGGGCACAGGACTGATGATTGCCATCAGCTAAAAACGGCCATCGAGAAATTGATACAAGCGGGCCATCTGTTCCAGTTTGTCCAGGGCCCTCAGCAACAGGGGCCCCCTCACCAAGGGCCTACCCGAGGGCAGACGGTGAGAGCAAATGCGTGGGTCAATCCCAACACCACCCCCCTCGACAAAAAGAGGGAAATTGGGAACCTGGAAGAAGAGGAGGAGGAGTACCCCCGGTACCAAGAAAAGAAGCGCCACATCCTCATGATCACCGGGGGCAATACCGGGGGTGATTCTACGAGTCAACGAAAGAAGTGGGCTCAATCGCTTTACGTGGGGGAAGTCAATCATATGCCCCTAGTAAAACGGCTGAGGGAGGAACCCATTATCTTCACCAACGCTGATCTCCCCCCGGTGTCCTCCCCACACAGGGACGCCCTCGTCATCCGCACAGAGATCAATGACACTATTATTCACCGAACTTACGTTGACACGGGCAGCTCCGTCAATGTAATGTACCTCAGTACCTTCAGAGAGCTGCATCTGGAGAGGGGGTCCCTTCGGCCCATCAAGACCCCTCTTGCCGGCTTCACCGGCGACACCATTGATTCCGAGGGGGTTATAACCCTCCCGGTACTCTTCGGCACGGGCTCCATAGAGCCAAGCTCGAAGTGGAGTTCGTCGTCGACTGCGCCCACAACATCATCCTAGGCAGGCCAGCCCTCGAGGATCTCGAAGCCGTCATCTCCATGAGGCACCTCTGCCTCAAATTCCCAGCCAAGGGGGGAATCGGTTACTCAAGGGGGAACCAAAAGCTTGCCCGCGCTTGCTACCTTCAAGTTACAAAGAAGGTTAGCAAGACGGAGTTCCACGTTGACACCATCACCGGAACTGTGGAAGCGGAGGAAAGGAGGCCGAGGGCTGAACCAGCCGAGGAGGTAGAAGACTTCGCGCTCGATCCGGCCAAGCCGGAGAGAGTCGTGAAGATTGGAGCCAAGCTCCCCGAAGACCTGAAGACCGACATCATCAGCGCCCTCCGCGCCTACTCCATGTAATATTCATAATGATATTTCTTATCATTATTATTACATTGTCAATGTTGTTTTTATTTTATGTCAAATTCAACTAATATTTTTATTTTCGAATAATTATTAAAGAATTAATGAATGAGGTAAAATTGGAGAGTTTTAAATATAAAATCAAAAATTATGAAAAAGCTACACAAAGCGCTTTTTCATTTTTGACTTTTTCGCATCAATCAGTCAAATAACAAAACAGTTTACAAACACCAAAAATAGTTGTTTGACACAACCAAATAGCCAAATTAAATTCAATCCAAGAAGTCAAAACATGGTTAATATATGTTGTTTATTAGACACAGCAAATTATACCGTGCAACCGGCGCACCATGAGGATGGTGCGCCCGGTTGCAAAACGACGCATCATGCCTGTTTTTTTTTTTGCTTTTGTTGTTAAAAAATGATAATAACTTTTTTATTTTTGATCCGATTTTTATAAAATTTATATCAACATTTTTTATTTTTCATGATCTTTTAAATGAGACAAATATTGCTTATGTAATTTTAAGAAATTATCGAACTATTATATTAATGAGTATTGGATTATAAGGAAAATCGAATCTGTTTGGGAGATGATAGGTTTATCAAATAGAAGATCGAATCTGTTTGGGAGTGGATCAGTGGCCTCAGTTACATTTGATAATACATTGAGTTACATCTTTTTGTGAGCGAGTTACATCTTTTTATAAGCAAGTTACATCTTTTTATAAGCGAGTTACATATATATACACACGAGTTGCATTTGACATGCCTGAACGCGAGTTACATATATTTACACGTAAAGTTACATATTTTTACACGTAAAGTTACATATTTATACACGCGAGTTACATATTTATACACACGAGTTGCATTTGACATGTCTGAACGTGAGTTACATATTTTTTTACGTAAAGTTACATATTGTTACACGTAGAGATACATATTTATACACACGAGTTACATTTGGCCTGACTGAACGTGAGTTACATATTTTAACACGTAAAGTTACATATTTTACACGCAAATGTTAATATGTTAAAATTACATAGGCAATATTGATCTCATTTGAAATATCATGAAAAATAAAAAATGTTGATATAAATTTTATAAAAATCGGATCAAAAATAAAAAAATAATTATCATTTTAAAAAAAAGAGAAAATAATATCCAATGAGTGCATGGTGCTCACCATGCACTGTTGCACGGTATACGCACTCATTAAACACCCCCAAAATATATCTTTTATATTTGGATGGGTTTCCGTCAGGCCATGTCAAATTAAATCTGAGTTAAATAGACTACACCAGAACTAACTTGTCAAGAATCATATACGGAGTAATAACGTAATACACATGAATACTAATGCATATCATATCCTCGATAGATCAAATCTAAGCTGACCAAATCGATCTATAATATATATAAATGTTTAGCGGTATACCATTAGTATAATCTCGAATACATAATGCGTGTAGATATTTCATGTACTTTCATCATTTTCAACTTTTCCATTACTGATTCTTCAATGTTGTATCCATTGTAATTAAAATCCTAATTTGAATTATCAGTTATTACCGATTAATACTTCTGAAGAGTCTTGATATCAAACTAAGGGGTATTTGGATCTGATTCTTAAAACTGCTCCTGCTTTTTCATAGAGAAGAAGCAGAAGTTGGAGTGTTAGGGTGAAAGTGAAAAAGTACTTCTGGTGCTCTAATTTACTCCAAGAATCGGTTTTTTTAGAAGCTTGGGGAGACCGGCTTCTGAAAACTAAGTCTGATTCTGCTTTAAAAAAGGAGAAGCAGAATCAGTTTCAAATCCCCTCTAAATTTAAAATATGGATATTGTACGTCTCATTCACTTGATTGGGTCAAATCATTATATTATTTTTAATTTATATTTAAATAATTCAATTATAATGTTATGATTGATATATGTAGACAAATGTATGGTACCTCGATGATACCATGGAATCTTCCTTTGTTATAATTGGTGATGATATTTAGTGTGGTTGTGTTACCGATCCACACAACCTACGGCATCATTTGACCAACCAAAAAAAGTAAATCAACGAAGTGAACCGTGATGAAATATTTTGTGATTTGATGATATTGATGTGATATTTTCAATGAGAATGTCACAAGTTCAAATCTCATTCCAAATTAATAGAAAGAATTTTTCAAATAGGAGTAAAACATAAGCAAAATGTAAAAATAGGAGTATCATGTTTTGAATAAGAGTGACTTTAGTGTTTGGATAAGTATACCCCTACCCAAGCCTCAAGCCTCAACAATTTTCATTAATAATTAAAATATAAAACAAATACAGATTAATTAATTCATAAAAAAAATTGTATAAAAACACAAAAAATATCAAATAAAATATACTCTGTATTAAATAAAATAAAAAATTATTAAAATAATAAATAAGAAATAAAAAAATATGAAAATATAAAAAAAATGAAAAAAATATGTAGGCGTCTGATGCCGCCTCAACAACCTCCCATCACCACCAGCTCTGATCACCGGAAAAAATGCCAACATTTTCCTGAAATGCCATCAAGATGGCAAATTTTGAGAAAATTTGTCATTTTCAAAGAGTAAAACTGCCATCTTTATGGCATTTTCAAAGAAATGACAGTTTTTACATAAAATGACATTTTTTCGCCGATCGGAGGTCACATTATTGGGTGATGACCGAGGCTGCGGGAAAGGCTTGCATAATTTTTTTATATTTTTTAATACAGTTTATCTATTTTTTTATTTTTAAAGTTTTTTATTTTTACAAAAATAACCTTTTTAATATATATTTTAATATTGTTGGGATGAACTTAGATTATTATTTAAATTAAATGGCCTGCATAAATGTATCGCTTCCAATGAATGAACTTAGATTTTTTTAATAGGATCAAATAAATGATATTTTAGAATTAACTAGATTAGGGATATTAAGGGTACAAAATTAATGTTTACTCCTATTGAAGGAAGTTTTATGTTTTACTCATATTTGTGCAATTATGTTTATGTTTACTCCTATATTGGGCAATTTCTAAATTTAATAACGTTGACTTCAACATACAACGGATATATTAGAATACCTTAAAAAACTCAGTAAAAGAAATTGAGTGAAAGATGACACAAATATTACATTTATCCGTCCATTCGCTCCAAATTTACATGTTGAATTTTGTGATTGATTATTTCGTTATCCTCGACATTATTTGGCATGTCACCTGACCAGCAAAAAATAAAAATAACTAGCTATAAGATAACACAAATATGAACTCTAATTCTCATCAATTTACCCTAGATTTGCTCGTCCAATTAAATTTGTGAGCGGTTGTATATTTATTCTCCACGGGTTCATACTCAACAACTTAAATTCATACACATTTAATATATCCATTGGAGTTCCATCATTCTGTTCCCCAAATCCAGTCCACTATCATAAATACTTTAATTTATCGTTTGTGATTTGATTTGCCCTCTTTTATTGGGAAAAGAGATAGAGGAACTTGCTTTTTACCAACTGGAGTGTAATCAGTGTATGAAAGCGGCATTGAGGATATGTATTCCTACAAGTCGCCAAAGAAGAAGAAGATATTGTAGATGGTCAGATGGATATGGACATGAAGTCAAAGTCCAATTGCTGCCTTTTATTCTTTTAATATGAACGTATTGCCCCCTACCTCAGCTAACGCTTCATCCACCCATGATTTAGTGTGTGAACTATAATTTTCATTTCCTCGTTTCATTCTTCCAAAAGGTTAAATAGCCAACCCCAAGGACCCCACGCCCCGACCTGACACAACCTTTTGGGAGGTTATAAGTCACGTTTCATAAATTTATTAAATGTAGATATAAGAAATTAAGGCATTAAATTTGTAGAGCTTTAAATGCTCTAAACTAGAGAATATAGTGAGTAGAATGTAGTGTTAATCTATTAGCAAGAGCTTCAGAGTCCATTTAAAATCATAAATCTTTAGTCAATTAGTCCTATGTTCATACATCATGCATTCATGCTTTATCTTATACGAAGTATTTTTATTGACAAATACTCTCTCCGTTCCTAAATAAACTTTCAACTTTCCTATTTCATCCGTTCCAATTAAAACTTCCACTTTCCCTTTTTGGTAAAGAATTTGTGATTCACAACATTTCTTACACATTTCTCTCTGCTCTGCACAACTCTCCACCACACAATATCCACTATCTTAAACTTTGTGCCAAAAGCATTTGGAAGTTAAAATGGGAACGGAGGTAGTAGTATTGAACCCGTGTGATGCACCGGGTAATGTTGTTGATGTTATGCGTGCATGACATGGGATAGGTCCCTTAATAGTTTCGGCTGAATGCCGAAACTGAAAAAAAAATGCAGAACCAAAGGGATCTCCGTTAAAAAGAGTTCTTGAGCTAAATTGACAGCTTTAATAGTACAAAATGACAACCAACTTCAATATAAAATAGTAAAACTGAGATGGCCAACTTCACAATAGTCTACATAACCCCTAGTGTTTGGCCTATTTTATTTCTACAAAATCATTAAGCAGGTTACATCACATTCCACTGCTCAGTAATTTTCCAGAGCCCTGAGATGAAGAATGTGAGAAAAACATATCTTATACTGATACAGAATGCTCTTGCTTCTAGTGTTAATGGTATCTTACTCCATCTTCTTCAACTACCTCACCAATACGGAAAGCATTGCATGAGTCATCCTCTAAAATTTTAAGAGCCATGTCTGGGGTCACAACCAGGACCATCCCGATTCCCATGTTAAAAGTCCTCCTCATTTCAGCATCTTCAATTTTACCCACCTTGACATCATAGATATTTATAAATGCAGGATCAGATATTATATACACGGTCCTGTTCATTTGGCCGCTTTATGTATATTTTATTTTATTATCATTTCATTGGGCAGATCTGCTTTCCTTAAGTCTGGCCTGTGAAATATGTTCAAGTGAACTAGTCCTAGCAGCGCAAAAAGATTCAAACCGAACAGGTATAAAAAAAAAACTCACCTCTTGAATCCATTTGAATACAGGAGGAACTACCCAGGAATCATTATAGATAACAGCTCCCAAACCTTTAGGAAATATACGAGGTATATTATCTGTAAAACCACCTCCTGTGATGTGAGCTATCCCTTTAACTCCGCCTTTATTGATAATCTCAAGTACCTTGAGCAACATTATAAGGAAAATAAAAACTATTATCACCTTATCTCAAAATAAAGCATAATTACATACGCAGTTCAGTTATGATTATCACTAAGTGGTGCACTTTGAAAACATTAATGCAGCAGCTGGTAAATTATAGTTTTACCTGCTTAACATAAATGACAGTTGGGGCCATTAAAGCTTCACCTAATGTAGTAGAGCTGCCGGGAAGTTGGTCGTTCAAAGAAAGGTCACTTTGCTTGAGCACTCTGGAAGCATATTTCATTTTCTTAGCGTAAGGCCTGTTTGGTTCAGGGATTTTGGAGCGGAGAGAAGGGGAAGATCCATATTTATTTTTAAAATAAATGTGATAAAAAAGTATTTGGATATATATGATTTAAGTAGTCATACAATTATATGTGGTCTAAAACTAGAGATAAATCGGTAAATTAAAGTCAATCCTCACGTCCCCTTCCATCCATTCAAAACAGAGCACTGCAGCAAGATGCATAACAGCATAACTAGAGAAAAAAATAGCTAGCTCTAACCTTCTGACAAGGGAAAATCCATTTGAATGAACTCCACTAGATGGAAGACCAATGAGGACATCTCCAGTAACAATATTCCTCCCATCAATAACATCATTCTTTTTCACAATACCAACTGCAAAACCACTAAGGTCATACTCCCCATTTGCATAGAAATCTGGCATTTCTGCGGTCTGAATCAATAATTTGATGCATTCAACACAACATGAAGTCAGAGTTAATATATATTAATTCCACCACAACATGCAAATAGAAGTCATTGTGAACATTAATTTATATGTGGTACTTTAAAGCTAAGACATTAATATGATATTGTACTTAAAAATGTGACACACATACGTATATATTTGTTTTGAGAGTTTAATGGCTACCTCTCCCCCCAAAAGGGCACAATCAGACTGCTTGCAACCATCTACAATACCTTTTATCACCTAATGATAATAAAAAAAGTAAAGAGCAAATGAGCACATAATATAATATACAAAATTCCAAGACCACTTAATACGTGAATTGTACAAATATACCTTTTCTGCCATATTAACATCAAGGCGACTTGTTGCGAAGTAATCAAGAAAAAATAAAGGTTTAGCTCCAGATGTGACAATATCATTAACACTCATTGCAACCTGATTCAAAAATGCCTCTTTAACTTTGGAGTGACACAAGGTTATGACTTGCATCAAAAGTAACAATATGTGATGTACAGCAAAGAGAAAACTTACCAGATCAATTCCTATAGTGTCATGGACTCCAGTTTCAAAAGCAAGTTTTAATTTCGTTCCCACTCCATCAGTACCAGCCACAAGGTAGGAATCACCTGATAAAGTAATAAGTAATTATATTGTTAAACAACATGGAATATAAATACATCAATAATCAGGTAATATTAGAATATATTTTTTAAAAGGACCATTGCACCGCATAAAATATACTCGTATTAAATAAAACAAGTCAAGTTAAAAATATTGATCGGGTCAGGATCATAGTAGCATGCATGAATTAAACATCAAATAGGATCAGGGAAGTTTAAACTATTAAGCCTTGAGGTCTTTTTCAAACAAAAAGAACACGAGGTGCACGTCGCAATTTTAACAACATTGAATCCAGTAAAACACATCACCAGCAAAACTCTCACTTTACATCGTTATAAATTGTCAAGCATGTAGAGCTTGAACTAGTACACATCCATAAGAACAAAAGTTGATGCCATAAGATTCTACTCAGTTTGACAAAGATTTTAAATCTGCTTATGTTGTTTACTGTTGATATTTTAAACTTTGGCCTCGACAATGTAAATTTTCAAAGCTCGGCCCCCTTAATCATAGATTTCTGGCTCCGCCGGTGTGTGTAAGACCTCCACGTATTCTTTTCATATTTAGCAATAGCATATGTAGAATACTGGTATATAAACTCATTTAAATAGACCAATGAGTTCAAACCGCTCAAAGAAAAATACCTAAAGGAAAAAGGCCTCCAAAACCGCCAATTCCAGGTGCCATTTTGGCAATCCTCCTGACAAGTTCTGAGCCTGCATCAATGTCAACTCCAGCATCTTTATATGTAAGACTGCTAACCTTATTCTCTGTACTGCTAATGTGGCTGCTTCTATCGGGAGTTGTGGACATGATGTTGGTTTTCATCTTGCTTTGAGGATGGTGCTTTAGAGATGTTTGTGAACCAGCAACTAAAGAGCATGGAGATTTATGTACACATAAATTAGAGCCCCAAGTATGTAATTTTTGGCATGAGATGGTTGTTTTCATACTACACCCAGTTAACTCCAGATTAGCTAGATAAGATGTGGTCATTGGAAGAGGAAAATCCAAAGCTTAGGAGATCTCTATCTTCAACACTGCAGGTAAGTCTGCAAGTAAAGAAACAAATCATTATTACTTCCTCTGTACATTATAAAAATCAAAACAAAATTAACTCTTACCATTTATTCATTTAATGTTTGAATGTCATTCTAACCACTCATAATCTTACAAACATTTGGCCACTTTTCACTATATTAAATTCTTTGAATCTTTGTTTCTTTTTTAAATGTCCTTGAGTTTTGAGTCTACCATAATCAATTATTAAATTAAGTTAATTGATAGGTCAATGAATGATGATTAATCCCTATATTAAGTTAAAACAATATACTCGTATTTATGTAAGCAATAAAAGCGATAAATGAATTTAGAAGATAATTTAATTAACAATATTTATATTTATTCAACATTACAAACTTTCAAAAAAAAATAACATTAGTAAATGATCAAGTACCAACAAAATAAGAAAATTGAGTCTTCAATGGTCCAGTAATTCAAAACTAAATTTATCTAATTAATTTACTCACCAACATCTAAAACAACCCGAGAGTCCATGTTTTCAATTTAAGATACCTCATATTGGGGAGAACTGCGTTTAACGTTTGTTTTAGAATACCTATTTGATAAGATTGAAAGTAAGCAGGGCTATTCATGTCTTTTACACGGCCTCGGAGCAATACTCTATAATGAGATTATTCTAATAACTACAAATGGTAGCCCATTGATATATTACAGAAAAAAATCATATAATCTTCCTGACTAATGAGCTCCACATGAATAAAATCAATAAATAGAAATAAATATACATAATACATATTAGGTAGAGAAAGAAAATAACAAAAAATATAAATAACAGTGTAAATAAAGCCCTACTCGAATCACTCGATGTGATTACAAGCAGCTGGTATGAGCACAGTCCAGAGCAGTACAACAAATTACCAAAACCCGTACCATGAGGTTTCAAACTGCGGTTCGGTATGGTCTGGTTTTGCGGTTGGAATAGTTTGGTACCATACCCGTTTGGTTTGGTTCGGTACGGCAATACCATACCAATACTAATAAATTTGGAAAACAGTTCTTCGATCTCGACATATTCTCGTAGTTCTAATCACTAATCAATGCAGTGTGTGTTTTTTATTTTCCGGTCTATTCTTCATCCATGTGCCAAGATATGAAATCATAAACTTCCCTACATAGTAGCCAAGCTTTGCCAGAGCACCACTATGAAGAACACTTGAAGTTTAAAAGTCTTACAAAACAACGCACAAAAACAACTACTACAAAGTCTATGCCATAAACACACCCTTATATGATTTTTAAAATCAAAAAATAAAAAATCCTAAAAAAATAGAATTATTAGCTTATTATATCCCAATTCCCAAACTATCATCAAATTCACAAATTTATCCTATTCTTTAATTTTTATCAAAAAAAGACTCAAACTTTTTCAGCAATTATGCTTTTCTGTTTTTTTTTTCAAAATTACACATTTTTATCAATTTCAATACTTTTTATAGATTAGTATTAAACTTCAAGACTTTTGCAACTGTTCTATGTGGGTTGATATTGTTTGATAATGACATAATTGTCAATTTTCTTCATTACCTTTATTGGAAATAAGACTAGTTACTACACTAACACTAAATCTTAATAATAATTACTTTATTCAAGTACCTTTTGACATGACGGAATCACTGTGACACTCCCAAGGAAGAGGTCACAGGTTCGAGATACTATAATAGGTTAGGAAGCTTTGCAAAAAAAAATAGATTAATAATTACAAATCACAAGTAAATTCATACTACTATAAATGATGATTACAAGTTTATAAATAACAATCAAATTCATACTAAACAAGGCTGTAAATTAGTCTTTAAATTGAATTAAAAACACAATAAAACCAAAACTTAAAATTAAACAACGCTGTAATACTAAATTCTAAACAAGGCTTCAATTAAAATTAAAAAACTTAATAAGCTAAAGTAGCTTACCCGTTAGGTAGTTCCACAAGCCGCAGCTCCAGAGTCCCAGTTTACCGCCGAAGAGCAGAATTGCAGAAAGCCAGAAACTAAGCAGTGAAACAGTCCAGCTGTTAAACCGCCTTGCGCCGTCCAACTGTCCAAGTGCTGAGCTTAGGTCGGGATTTGGGGTTTCGCCTAAACGGAACGCCGGAGTGCGGACTCTATTGCGGCCTGCTAGTCTGCTGCCGTGCTGCCTTCTCCTGCGCGGTGCATTATTTGGGATATTAAGATTTTGGGCCATGGTCTAATTGTGGGCTTGGCTGGAGTAATGGACTTGAACTACTATAATACTTCATCCGTCCCATTAGAACGCACTCACTATTTATATGATTAACTTAAATCATTTTTAATCTTTTTCTTTAAATATCAAATTTTTATCACAGTTACATTTTTTTATCAGGCTTTGTAGCGGTTTTAATGTAGTTTCTGAATATGTAAATTTTATTTACTAAGAAAAATCAGAGTATGAATAGAGATTAAGTTGATTTATCGTCAGTCAAGCATCGTAAACCATTACGGGAATACTTGATCAAATATAAGTATTGCACCAATTCCACAATTCGTCCTCGTCTTTCATGTTATCCATTTTTGGTACCTGACTATTGTTTTCTTGACAATATATAGTCCTTTTTCGATAGTAAAAATGCTCAGAAATGGACCACAAATGGTCAAAAAACAATAGTCAGGTACCAAAAATGGATAAAGTGAAAGACAAAGACTAAATATGGAAATGACACAAAACTCGGAGGACCTAAAATACTCTGAATTTACAGAGTAAAGAAGAAATCCCACTTATGGTCCTTCGAGTTTTGCACCAATTCCACAATTCGTCCTCGTCTTTCATGTTATCCATTTTTGGTACCTGACTATTGTTTTCTTGACCATATATAGTCCTTTTCTGATAGTAAAAATGCTCAGAAATGGACTACAAATAGTCAAGAAAACAATAGTCAGGTACCAAAAATGGATAAAGTGAAAGACGATGACTAAATATAGAAATGACACAAAACTCGGAGGACCTAAAATGGAATTAATTCTAAAACATATACTCTGTATGTATCAAATCTTTACTAGACTAATACAGTAGTCTATACTAGATTTAAACAAATTGGAATACTTGGTTTTCTTTGGAATTATTTGAACCTATTATCTTTTGTCTTTTGAATTTTTTTTTTGAAAGAAGTCTTTTGAAAAATTAGAAATTAGATTTTGATCATGTTGCAAAAAAATATTTTGATCATGTTGCAAAAAAACTATTTTGATCATTTTTAATACATATATGGCGTGTTTATGGCTAATCAAAAGACGATTATACACTTAAACTCATTATACTCATACATCAAATATAATCTTATTCCAAATAAAAATAAATTAATCTTATGATCAACAATCATCATAAATCGCATGAAAATCTTTATACAAGGAGGGAGTATTTTAGTATCCGAATATGTTCACTTATTTTACACTAGACGAAATACTTGTGCGGTACACATGATAAATCAAGAGTAAAACTAAATTGTCTTAGAGTTTTATTGTGTTATCATGATCATTTGTATACGTAGATCAATGGAATCTACGTAGTACTATCTTAATTAGTTTAAAATAAGTGCAATAGTCCACTTTTTACGTTAGCCAATGCATAACTATGATCATTAGTATATTTAGTTCTCTATTAGTAAAAAATTTAAAAGTTCGGATTTTGAGAATTTACGATGAGACAAATTTAAAAGTTTATTTTGTAAAAAATAATGAATCAATACATTCATAGATAAAACATAATCAAAGCAGAATATATGAATAGGGTAAAATTCTACATGTTGCACTTATTTAAGAAAGAAGATAATATGAAGAAATCATAGACCATGATATTATTTAGGGAAATTCACAAAATAAGAGTAAAGATAGTGTAAATTTCAAAGTATAATACAATGTTTTGCTTTCCTATATAGGATGAATATGGTAATGTCATCCTAAAAATTTATTTTCATATTTTGACATTATCAGACTTTAAATATAGCACTATACTATCATAGTTGACAATATTATTCATGCATGAGAGTAATTACTCTTATTAGGTAATAAAAACATACTGTTATTATTTTAGAGTTTCAAAACATTTTGACTTCAACCGTTTCTTTATTATTTATGGAAAGCTAGTATGTATGACAAATGAAAATGTAGAATTTTTTAGTCATTACATATATAATTTTTCAGTGATTGCGTTATGTCCTTTTTACCATTATTTGGCCAAAACAACAAAACTGATACAGATTTGGCTCAGATTTTCCAAAACTCATAGGGTATTTGACACAGATTTTGCACGGATACGTCAAAGCCGTGCTAAATTCCGTGTCAATGTCATTTCTAGCTCAATCAATTTGTGTCAAATGTGTGCAATATCTTAATTTATTTATTTTGAGAAAAAAAATGATAATTAATAGTTTTTATGTGTATTATGCATGTAAAAAACGACAACCTAGCTACTTTCTACGTATTATCTATCCATACAAATGTAACATTTCCTTTTCAATAAAGTTGATTTTCCCTTATATATTCAATTTAATCACATAGAATATGTTTTAGAATTATATAATGGACGAATACAACTTTAGTGTGTGTGCTGTTTTTTCTATAAAGATTGTTTTTTCAGAAAAAGTAATAATCGATTTATAAAAAATATGAAGTGCTAAATGAAGTATTGTTTTATTTCTAAATACAGGTAAGGAATATTTTTTACATGGAAACCTAATTTCATTTTGGAGTCAAAAATTGTAGCAATTTTACTACTTTATATTAATAAAATAAACATACAAATAAAAGTAAAGATATAAATATGATTGAGATCATTATCATCATCATCATATTGTTATTAATATTGTATTGTTGTAGTAGTAATAATTATTCATTTATTTTCCATAATGTATCTATAACATTATTTTAGGAATTGGTAAAATGTAAGCACATTACCTATTTATAATTTTAAATATGGCAAGTACTTTCTTTGCCCTTAATATATATCTTTAGTTTCCATTTTGTTTATTACACAATTCAGCGAGTAAAATCAAAAGTTGCGTGTTTGATAAAAAAGTTATCTGGTAAGGCCGATTAGCCGAAAAACATGGCCATCAAATCACCCTTAAAATGTTTGAAATATATGAACTTCCATGAATTGTTTATAGTTTATAGAAACAATACTTGCCTATTGTGTGGAATGAGTACAGTGAAGAACACTTGTTCATCACTTCATTGTCATTATTTCCTTGAATAAATACTTCCTCTATTTTTTTAGTTGCAACACTTTCATTTTCACGTTTGCTAACACACAATTTTGATTATTAATATGTTTAATTTCCTAATTGTGAAATTTTATTTAAAATCAAATCTTGAAAATTTAAGATGCGAATAGTGTAAAAATTCTAAACGGAGGTAATATATCATTGTCACATTAATTGTTGAGCGAGTGTTTGCAGAGGCTTATAAATAAATTACTTATTTTAATTACTAATAATCACTTTTTCATATAATTTATAAATAAGTTACTTATTTAAAATTAGAAGCAATCACAAACACTTCTTAAATAAAATTAGTTTTTTAATTGACATTGACATCAATTTCCTAGTTACCTATGGTTAATATGAATATTGTTCACTCCTTTTTCACTATTTGAAAAATGATCTTTTCTATATTTATTTCTAAATAAAATATCTTTTCTTTATTGATACAAATAATAATATTGTATTTGCAACCTGTAGTATTTTGCAACACTCCACTTTAAAGTTAAAATTGCCAACTTCCTTAAGAAAATACCTAGGCAGGAGGTAACATTTTTAGGTAACATTTTGAGCAGCAAAAATGATTGTTACACTGTTACTTTATACTCCCTCCGTCCCTAAATGTTTGTCACACTTTCCCTAAACGGATGTCCCAAAATATTTGTCATACTTTTTCAACTTCCTTATTTGGTAAACAAATCTATACCAAACAATGTCAAACAGTGCAAAACAGTGCTAAACAGTGCCGCTAGATTGTGAAACAGTGTCGCTACAGTGTAAAATCAAATTCATCTCCTTAAAACTTGTGAAGTCAAAGTGTGACAAACATTTAGAGATGGAGGGAGTATTATATAAAGATGTCATTATTCTTTCTACTTATGAAAATATAAAATAAAATAAAAGACAAGTGTTTCATCTCGTTAAAATAGTAGTGTTTTCCACAAGTCCGTATATTCTAAAGTTGATTATAATTATGACAAGAGCAGTGAACTAGGCATGGACTCGGACCTGGTCCGGTCTCGATTCTGGTTCAAGACTGGCTGGTCTCGATTTTGAATATGGAGGACCGGAGCCGACCCCGGTTACTATGGATCCGGTTCCGATTCAGTCTACCTGGCCGGTCCGGTCCGGTCCTATTTTCCACAATTTCCAATTTTGCCCTTTATTAGGTAACATTTTGAGCGGCAAAAATGATTGCCACAGTGTTATTTTATACTCCATCTGTCCCGTTAAGATTGTCCCATTTTACTTTTTCGGGAAGTCCCACTAAGATTGTCTCATACCAAATTTGGTAAAGATTGTGTGGCTCTAAACTATTATTACTTTATTCTTATTTTATCAATTTAATATCAATCACTTTTCTTAATAATCGTGCCACCTTCTCTCGTCTCAATCTTAGTGGGACGGAGGTAGTATGATATAAAAATGTCATTATTCTTTCTACTTGTGAAAATATAAAATAAAATAAGAGACGAGTGTTTCATATGGTTAAAATAGTCTTGTTTTCCACAAGTCCGTTGATTATAATTATGACTAGGGTTGGACTCGGGTCAGGTCTAGGCCCGAACGGGCCGGCGGGTTTGAATAGGTGAACCCAGGACCGGCCAGGGTAGCCACCGAGTCCGGTCCGGGTAGCCACCGGGTCCGGTCCGGACCAGGCAGGGCCTCGGGTAAGGGTTTGGTTATTTTTTTTACTTACCTACCTATCCCTGATCCCCCACTCACCCCCACCCCCCAAACCCCTTCTAAACATCAAGCCCAACCCGAGTGGAGCCCAAACAAATGAAAAAAACAAAAAAAAAATCAATTTTGACCCGAACCGGGCCAGGCCGGGCCAAGCCTTGTTTTGGGTGACCCGAACCCAGACCGGAAACCCCTCGGGTCGGGCCAATCCGGAGCGGTCACTGATCAGGCCACCGGCTAAGGCCGAGCCGAAACAGTGCCGGTTCCG